ATAGGAGGTTGTTAGCAGGATCCAACAAAAATTCCCTAATGAGCTCAATTCATCTCACAGGAGCATGATATCATCTATTAATAACAGGTAGGTTGTTAATGGCATGTAATGAGTCTAAAACCACTCACGAGTGTAAAATGTTGATTATTGCTACACAGCACTGTGCTCCTAAAGCCAAGGATTTCACCTCATATAAAGCTTAATGTCTGAAAGGCCACTGATTTATTCAGCTGATACAAGAGGTCAGGAATTTCTACCTACTACCCCCAATCTGAACTTTATGTTTCATACAAGTCCTATAGGAAACAAAAATCTATTATAGAAAGGTGGTGCTGACTCTCTAGCCTTCACCTTTTCTCTACTCCTGAAATCAGGTTTCACATTCTGTCCTCTGAGAGGATATTTCATGTTTTAAACCCAAAGTAGCCCCCAAAATATTTTTCTGTAATGAACCTATCAATGCAAAGAGAACGTTGTACCAGAGACAGAAAATAAAATATGTCTTCTGCGGACACCCTCTAGCCTGTCATCAAAAACACCCTTACAAATTACAACCTTAAATTTTCCTGCAAACTCTCTGAGCAGCAGTGGACTAAGGACAGGCTTTAGAGTCAAGGCAGCATGAGTTCAAATGTAGCCCTGAGATGGCATGAGCCTTTGCTACTGTGCAGTCACCTCTCTTGTAAGGTGCTATACCTCCCAAAACACTGTGAGAACTAAGTGGGACACTACATGTAAAGCACCTGGCACAGGGTTGAGAAAGAAGCTAGTACTCAATCAGTGGCATTTGTTTCTGGTTTTGTCCTGCTGACAATGCTAACAAAAATAAAGCTAGGTGAAATTATAATGGAAACTTACTCCCTCTTTCTGGCCACCTTGGATCTGCAGTTATAAATAAAATGACTCCCCACTCTACCTACAGTAGATTGTTCTACAAATAAACAAAACAACAACAACAAGTTAATTTCAAGATGAGAATTCTCAAGTAAGAGAGGTGAGTTAAACTGCTGTCAAAATGAGCAGCTGTTCTTCAGAGAAGCTACAAGATTTTGAAAATTTTCCCCCTTGGTCTACATGGCTTGAGGCAGCAGTCTGGAACAGATGTTCCCTCTTTAGCTATTGTAACAAGGCTCTCATGGCACACACACACACACACACACACACAAAAAAAAAACCCCAAAATCACTGAAGAGCTATATCTATACAAATTAGAGCAGTTGCACATTTAATAGGACTTAAAAGAATATAGTCATATACAGTACAGACTCTGGAGCAACAAAGCCTGGGCCAGCACCTTGGCTCCTTGCTAGTTGTACAATGATGGGCAAATCAGGATCTCTGTGGGCCTCAATTTTCTCATCTGTAAAAGAGGAACCACAGGAATATCATATCTAGTTTGGGGAAGGATTACATGAGTGGTTACAGCCCTGGAAAATGGCTGGTACTACATGTGTTAGTTTTTAAAGCATGCCACTCATTGATCATCTGTTATTCAACAAATTTATTATATGCATGAGACACAACATAGAGACACAAAGGGAAATAAGATAGACACAGATTTTATGAGAGGCAGCAAATTTAGAAAAGAGGTCAGAGGGTAAGTATAATTTAGCCAGACAATTATGGAGTGCTCCAGCAGAGCAAACAGTATGCAAAGCGACCTAAATCCAGGCAGAAATATTCCATGTATGGAAAACTGCCAAAAGTGTGTGGAGTAAGGACATAATTCCAAACCCACTTCATGTAAAATAAAATGGACCTTTATGTTATAGTAAAATTTGCTTTTCAAGATCATGAGGACACCTAAATGCCAGTGGATAAAATAACAATGGAAATATTTAATAGTATTTTTAAAATAAAATATATATTTTTGCCTATCATATTAACGTGAGTTTCTAGAACAGACTTTCAGTACATTAAAATTCTACATCTGTAGCTACAGAACAAATATTTTCTGAATACTGATTCAACTTAATCTGGTTCCCAAAGATGAATAATATGAAACTACTAAATAGCAATCTCCTAAGAAATCAGAACACTGACTAAATAAGGGATTTGTCACTAATTTTAGTCAATATTAATACACTGGAATTTTTGAAGATATGTTTTTTTTCCCAAAATTTAAGCAATATAATCACATACACCCATCCCTGCCAAAAAATAAAAATAAAAGAGAACAAAAAAATGCGTACATGAAGTGTGACCACATTTATATAACCATTTCATGTTCAGTCTTCTTTATTCTTATTTTAGTCTGAAGAAAATTTCTTCTCCAAGAAGAACTATTTCTTATTTAGATACTTTAAGCTTAGTAGTAACAATTTTAATTTCATGTAGTGTGTGCATGAAAGTTTGACAGCACCTACTTCTACAACATATGAGACTCTGAAATAGGTAAAACAGAGAAGGCACTCTGTTACCCATTTTTTTGCCCTTTGCTCTCATTCAAATACTTTCTCCCTCAATCCACTATTTAGTAGTGAAGATTTCAAGTTATCCATAGAATGCCATAAAGCCCTGTAATCTTTTTAAAACTTGAGAAGGTTTGGAATTAGACTTGGATTCAAATTCCAATTCAGTAACCTATAGGCAACATCAGTTTCATATAATTAGGAAATTCCCCAAATGCCAGTATTCTTATTTCTAAAGTGGAACACAAACTACAGAATACAGAAGGCAGAGCCATTCAGTTTGAGTGAAGACTCTTGTGGAAGAATACATGAGTTCAAATTCTAATTGCATCATTTTATAGCAGTATGACACTGAGCTAGATATGTTCTATTTCTGTCTCAGTTTCCTCATCTGCTACACAAGGATGGTGAAAGCTAAAAATTTTAGAATCACTGAGATGTTTGACTGAGATAATACATGTAAAGAATTTAGAAGAATGGACCATAGACAATCATGCATTCAGAGAAAATAATATGTGAAGTGTATTATTATTATCATATATCCATTTTATCCTGTAATTGTCAGGAATCCCCCCAAGATCCCCCCCAGGTATGATAATTTGCTAGATAGATTCACAGAACTCAGAAAAAGGCATTATACTCCTGTTATAGTTTATTAAGTGAAACACAAGATTAAAATCAATAAAGGAGGAGGCTGGGGTTGTGGCTCAGCAGTAGAGTGCTTGCCTAGCATGTATGAGGCACTGGGTTCAATCCTCAGCACCATAAAAATAAATAAAATAAAGTATTGTGTCCAACTACAACTAAAAAATAACTATTAAAAAATCAATAAAGGAAAAAGCTATATAGGGCAGAGTCCTGGCTAAAGCAAGTGCAACTTGCAGTTGTCTCCTCCCAGTAGAATCCAACAGGGCTTATTATCCTAGGAATAATATGTGACAACATGCACAAAGGAAGTACTGCCAAAGAGGGAATCTCACCTGAACCCTTATGTCAAGGACTTAATAAACTGCCTGTATGATAGATCTGAGCTACTCAGTCTTCAGGCCCCCAAGAGACCAACAATGATACAGTGTAGTCCAGGGCAGCGCATGATCAAAAATTGGTGTTCACCTGTTAGCATAGTCCATCTAGGTTGATCTCAGATTCTAGGTGTATAAATAAACCCTTATTGGGCAGAAGATTCCAGGGCTTAGAGGTACTCTCTCAGAAGACAGTCAAGAGCTAGACTTTTCTTGGAATAGAAGTTGTATGAGCACCCAGCACCCTTTGAAATAACCTTTTCTTGCATGATAATTTATTGAGCAACTAAGATTGCCAGAAACTATTTTGATATATCATTTCACTTAACAATTATACAGTCTTTCAAGGAAGAAGATTAACATTTCTTTTAAAAATATGGAAACTGAGGCTCGGGAAGGTTAAATGAGTGTTCATAGCCATATGATTGGGGTGGAATTCAAATCTAGCTCTCTCAGACTACAGAGATTTTTGAACTGCTTCCACCAAGCTATGCTGCCTCAGAAAACATAAAGTTTAAAACAATATATTGTACAGAATATGACATAGATACATCATAATATATATAAATCTAACTACAAAATTCGCATCTTATAGTGAAAAACTTAATTTAAAGAATCACTTTGAATTTGTGGAGAAAATAAACTGGAGCTGTGAGTAAATATGTATTTACTATAGACTGGTTTTTCTTTAAAATTATGGGTTTTTATTATAAGACTATCTAATCTTTATTAAGTGTTTATAACCAAGTCCAGGAAAGTCAGCAATAAAGTTTTCCTAAGATTTATAAGAACCAGTTCTTTAAAATTCAATCTTCTTTTTCTTTATGTCTCCAAACTTTTTAATCCTTACAATCATTTGCTGAAATATAGAAATGACTTACCCATTTATTAAGAATAACAATTTTTTCCTTGTAGAAGTATATCACCAGTTTCCCTAGGGAGGCAACAATGCCTTCTCAATTTATTATGTGTGTGGTTCCCCCCCCCCAACCTCATCTAATCAGCTAATACTTTTCAAAAGATCTTTTTAATGCCTAAATGAAAGGATTCCACATCAAAGACCTGACCTCCCTATTAAATTATCTGAAGGAAACCCTAGGAATGTAAAATCTATTCAAAGGAAAATCACAGGTAGCTTATTGTACAATGCATTAAGAAAAGAAAAGGAAAAAAGCTTCATAAGAGCTGCATGGAATTTGGTAAAATTATACCACAAAAATACAAATCGATCTTAAGTATAAAGAAACAAATTCATAGCCAAAAACTTATTACAAAAGAGTTCTGTAATCAGCCAGGAGGGAGCCTTTATGAAAAACTTCAGAATTTGTCACTTTTTCAATCACAATTGCTGATTAAAGCTCAATGTTGGAAAGGCCAAAAAGAGAACAAACCACATATTTTTCAATAGATTTAAAATCTGAAATTTTAAAGGTAACATTCAACATCAGAATGTTGCATGTTTGCTACTTGTTACAGATAACAATGAGTAGAATGAAATAACGAAATAACAGATGAGATAGTATAGAGAAAAATACTTAAAAAAAAACAATTAAAATGTTTGCCATACCATGAATGTAGTCCTGAAGTTATTTAAGTCAGTAAAAAAGTCTTCCACAGACACCTTCTTCATATCAATGGCATAATATACCATTATACTCTGGTACAATTTTTCCATGTTTTCAAGTAATTTTGAAAGTTTTCCATATTGTTCTTTTGCAGTGATAACAAAGCTGTACATTATAGTTAAGGTATTTTGTAATTTACAAACTGAAGCTTTAGGCATGAAAATACACTCCAAAATTTCAGTCTAATTTTTAGTCACCATTACTTCCTCTACAAAATTCCATGATTACCTTAACAGTCATCTTTACAAAGACAGTCTAGATGATATAGAAAAAACATTTAAATTTAATTTCTAAATAACTTTGGCAAAATATCAGAAAACTCAAATATTTTTATATTTAACACTTCTATTTTATAACTGAGTTTAAAAAAATTCCAATTTACTCAACTAATAATCTATAACATGAAATTATAGCTTGGCAGTTCAAATTGAGTAACTGGAATGATATTAAAATCAACAATCGACCCCACTGAGTACAGCAATGAAGTTGGACAAGTTGGGGTCAATTCATACCTCCTATACCTGGTAGCAGTGTACCTGTGGAAAAGTCTTCCCCTCATTCTGCCTTGATTTCCCCATCTGTAGGATGGAATAACAATAATACCACCAAACTCATAAAGTTGCTGTGAAGAGTAAATGAATCAATACTAGCAAGGTTCTTAGAAATGTGACGAGGCACTTAGTGGCATTAGTCATTAATTCAATTTGATAGTCATTGATAGTTGAATATATGTTTTAACAAAACCATGGCATTTCCTTCACTGTGCAACAAATTGCTGATGCAATCAGATATAAGATCTTGATACCATATTCTGAAAGACTATTCTTAGAGGATTAGTTATAACTTCCTATGGTTCCTTGAAATTGGGACAAAGAAACAGAACATACAGAGTTAAATTCACAGAAGTCATGTTAGTATCTTTGACTAATGTACATGTATAAACACACCTTAGCAAAATTTAAGCTGAATTAAGTTAAATGAATTCAGGCTATGAGTAAGAAACCTAAAATAGAATGTTTATATCTGAAAAAAAAATTCTCACAACTAAAAAAAAGTTCTTCCCAGTAGAGAACAAAATAAGGAAACTGAGGCAGGCCCTTTATTTTGAGGAAGGGAATAAAAGAATCAATAAAAAAAAGAGAGACCTTGCTGCTGCCAGGTAGGGAATGAAACCAGGACACAAGAAACAATTCTAAAAATCAGAGCCTGACCTCCCCACAGGCCCTGAGGCAGCCAGTCAGTCACAGCTCAACTCTGTAATCCCTGCCAGTGGATCCCCAGGGGATCTGTTTCCCTTCTATTTCTGTTTCTTTTCATACTAAGCTGTGCTGAGTAGTATATGTAGTATTTCAGAAGGAAAAGTGGCTAGAAGACAGGGAACCTGGATTCTAAGGCAAGAGCTGGTCTTTTTAATGACCTTAAGATCTATATGTGACTCAGCTTTTATGTTCATTCAAATAGCAACATGCCTCTGTACACTTTCTAGTCTAGATTTTAATACTGTCGGTAACTGGTACATTTACTTATGATATCACTCTGCAATTCTTGGATAAGTAACAAAACATTTTGTATAATTAGTCAAACCACAAAATTGCAAGAGATCATAAAACAGAATCACATAAAACAGGTTTCCATATGTAATATCAATATTCATGAAATATTATAGGTAAAGTGGATTTATGTAAATAAAAATCACATTTGAAATGCATGCAGAAACTATTATTAAATAGAATATATAGTTATTCATCTGTAATGTGAAATAAACATTCAGAAATAATCATTCAGAACTCAACACTGATTTATAAATGGTTTTATATAATCAATAAGCTCTCACCTAAAATTAATTATGTCCCAAATGGAAAACATGCATTATTTATATAATCTTAATTCCTAACTAAAAGAAAAGTTTTTTACTTCCGTCTTTTCTTGTTGAAACTTACCAATGAAGAATTTCTTCAGTTCTTTCTCTTCCATGATACATTCCTCTAATCTCCACAGGTTTGAGTAGCCATTTGTACCAGTAGACCACAGCATTTGGTCTATTGCACTTACCTGGAAATTTTTCTGGCATATTTTTACTGCTAGATCTATAATTAAGTTGTGAGTTTTCCTTTCTAATCTTAATTCTTTAGTGGGGCTTTGTTCTCACCACATTTCTAACAAGTGTGGTCACCTCTTACTTTCTGTTCATTCTCTAGACGCTATCTAACTTCATTTAGTCATCTGCAATGACATTGGTTCTAATTACATATTATTATTCTTCCTCTTTGAGGAGAAAGGAAACAAATGTCCACCAAAATTACTTAACAAAAATCCATGGAATGCCTTACTCATAAAATTGCACATATTCATGCATAGGCACACACATAATTTGGATGTAAAGAGCTAACAAAATTACTAAAGATTACCTACCCTAGAAAATAGGTTAATGACATTATTTTGGAGAACATCTATGATTAGATGATTCTATAACTACTCCTTTGCTGCCCCTATCACTGCTTATAAGGTTTTGAGTTTTAAGAATAGGTACTTCACAAATACTGATAATTTTATTCTTGAGAATCTGGTAAACAAATGAAAATAAAGCAAACACCTTTTTTTAGATTTTCAGGTAATAATCATAAGTAATGAAATATCAGAAATGTCTGTGCAGATTTATAAAACAGAACAATTTTATTAAAAGATGTGATGAAAAAGATGACTGAGAGCCAGAAGCATGGAAATGACATGGTTTTGTTCTAACAGCTAGAGAGCTTTTAAAGTCAATTTTCTTATCATTATTACATATAAAGCAATTTGCTGCCAAAGAAAATGAAGTGGGGCTTTGAGTAACTGGAATTACCCACAAGAATGGCAAAATCGTGATTAAATTGAAACAATTTTGGAAATAGCCAAATTAATCCTTGGAAGTTTAAAATGACTGTCTGATAGGATGGAATAACTGGTTACACGAATGAGGCACACTATGTCAGTACTGAAGGGCTACTCTCATTAAGGGATGGTGAAAGATCCAGATAAAAAATCATCATCATCTAAAAGAAAAATAAGTGAAGCTGCTAAACTCTAAATAAATGTAACATTCATGTCAGCAATAGCTAGGCTTTAATTACCTTTTTCCCAGAATAAAATTCTATATATGCAAAGAACTTTAGAAAAACATTGTAAGATACTCAACAAAATATACTTTTGAATAAAGTCATGCAAAAATATTTACATTCTAACTGCATGATGTTTTATGAAATCTATTTTTTTTCTTGACCTTAAATGAAATTCAGGACAAATTCTCATTGATTTCTAAGTGAATCAGTGTAATCTTCCCATTTGAAAAACATATGACTACTATGTTCATATGGATTGAAATACAAGTATTTAATGTTTAGCATGACTCAGATTTAGTAGTTCTCTTCTGGTCTGCCAATGGTACATACTCCCAAACTATTTACCAGACATATATTTCACATTTATTCTCTGGTTATATTTTCATTATTGTATTTCTGCCATCTGCAATAATAAGTCTTCCAAGGACCAGCTTCAATCAGTCCCTTGCGTTTAATAATTTGGCTACACTGTCCTAGGATCGAGTCAGTCCTTCAGTTAGTATTCCCAAAGTTCACTGCACTTCAAACACTCTTCTAGAGGGTACAGTCCCTGCAGTTGTGAAACATACATCTTAGATTGTGAAAGCACATAATAAGTAAACGAGATTTTCACATAGTCTAAGTATAAGGAAGAAAATAAAACTTTATGATGTCATACAAATCAGAGAGGTTAACTTGATTTGGGTAGTCAAGAAAATCTTGGCTAAACTGATTAAAACAACAAGGCTTGATGGTAGAAGAGCAGCCAGCACTAAGTGATATACCATTCTCATATAAATGGAATAAGACTGAGGAAATGAAAAGATAATTACAAATTAGAGGATTCATAGAGGGAAAAAAGCAGGCTATTTAACCTGAATCTTAAAAGTTTGTTGAGAATGGGTTAAGTGACAAGGAGAAAAGAAGAGAAGAAGGGAAGGAGACAGAAGACTAACTCAAAGAGAAGAAAAATTTGCTACAATAATTCACTTAATTACCCCCTTTTTCCACTGCTTCAACTGGATCGTGATCATACATTACACAGGTTTACATTTCATCCATTGCAATCTTATATTTTACGTTCTAGATGTAATTCAACTACAGAAAAAATGTTCTAATTTCCTTTACCTGAAAATGCTGTACTTTCTGTAGTACAGAACACAGATACATGATATATCAGTCTTTCAATGAGTTTACGGGGATGGTTTTAGCATCTACCCCATAATTTAAGAGGTACCTAAAATATTCCTGTACAGTGGAACAACAATAAAGAAAAGTATTAAAATAAAGGGGGATTTGGATGAAGAAATTTTTAAAAATATAACACAGGAATGAATCAGGTAACTTGTCATATAAGTGTTGATAAATAAAAAATATATAAATGTTTAACAAAATAATTGTTGTTTTTTTTTTTTCCTCAGACTCAGGAGAGGGGGTAGAAAGAAAATAGAAAAGCGAGTGCCTTTGGAAGGATACTATCAAGGGCATGCTCTAAGATCTATTTGGTATTTTCCTAAAAATAAGAAATATTAAAGAATTTAAAGGTCAAAAGAAAGGAACAGGGAATACATGACATAAATCATTGCATTTTCTTAGTTTCTCACTGGTAAGAATAAGTATGTACTACACATACAATAGCTTGTATATAACAACAATGTTGATCCTACCTCAAATTTGTATTCCACATTTTTCAAGTAAATATTTAGTGTGGAACTATTCAATACTAATTATAGTTCTGACCAGGCTTAGCAACTGGAAAATAATAATTATTATGAAAAAGCCAATGATATATGAAATAATTGTGCATGACTTTTAAAGGAAGTACTAAATTCGTATTTTCATGTTACAAAGTAGATGTTAACAAAGAGCATGCACTAGAATAATAAAAACACAATATACTGTAAATTGACTGCTATTAGTGAAATTTCATAACAAAATTCTACATTTATAATTGAAAACAATTCATGTAACAGATTATTTAATAGTTCAGGAAATCATGATTGTTTAAAGTAAATATGTACTCCTAAGACTCATATTTAACAAATTAAATAATGCATATATTCTTTTGAATTGGTTGATGAACCAAACATTTGACATGTACCTCAACTAATAAACATTTAAACATAAAACATAAAGTTTGAGTGTTAAGAACTTAAACTTAATACATTTTTATTTATTGTGCATTTTAGCTTCCAAACGCTTCCATTTTCTAAGATCTTAGAGGCTCACAATTTGCCATTTTAATAAGATCTGTATAAAAGCATTTAATATTCAAAATCTGACTTGTTGTCAGTCCTAATTAAAGTAAACAAAGTCTTGCAATGAATGAATTTAATTACTTCAAAACTAGTGTGTCTTACTAAGATGAAAAGCAAACTAGTGCAATCTAATCTCAGCAAAGAATATTTATGATTATAAGCTTTGTCAATAGCAAAGTGCACCAACTGTTCATATATCTGACTTCCAAGAGATACATGAATGCTAATCAGTTCATTAGAGGCTTCTAGGTTGTGATATTTAGCGACAGGATATAGTAGCTTTCTTGTCCATGGAGGATAATTGTACTCAGAATGAAAAATTGTTTCCAACAAAGCATCATCCTTCCTGTTTCTGATTTCCTGCTGGTTGCTTTTTATGAGCTTCATACCTTTCAAGAAGCCGACATCATTCAGCTTATTATGTCACATGAATACAAGTATGAATATGTCCTGAGATGGTCTGCTGAGCAGGATCCTACCACCTTTACTCCCAGCTCAGGCATTCTTGTTAGGCAGAGAAGCCTAGGCTCCATAATTAGCGCACTCAGAGCATATTACTAGAAGTTATAGTGGAAATCCTTACTAAAATGGTTTCTACCTATAGGTCACACACACAAAAAAAAGCATTTCAATTAACAATACTTAATGACATAATGATAAACTCACATATGAGTATTTTAACATTACAAGATGATTGGGGAGGGGAGGGGAAGGGAAGAATGATGAAACTGTTATAACTGCAATAACATTTATTTTAAAAAAGCAATCTTTGACAAAAGAGAAGGTAGTGCAAAAATGTATTCTCGATGGATAAATACAGACTTTAGTTTAAAAAAGAAAACAAAAAATGAGAGCTTTACTCACCATAGTGATAAAGGCATGATCCCTAAACAAGGAATGGAATGGGTAAGAAACATGAAAGGAAACAAACCACATTAGTCTAAATTGATTGTTGCTGCAGTGCATTTTATGATAATTCCCGACAAAGACAGTGAAGGAAGCTAAAATGGAAGTAATTCATAATTAAGCTGAAAGCATATACAATATAATCTATAACAAGCCAAATAATAATTTTGTGATTCACTAAATCTCAAGGGAGAAGTAGTAGAAAGAGGAAAAGTAGTCATTTTATTTCAAGTACTTCAGTTTAAAATAAAATATTAGGAGTGTCAATTTATCAGAACTCATTTTAGAAGTTGGTTACACTTTCATATAGCATTCACAAGCCCATATGGGATTTTAATAATTCATTGTAATAATATTTCATTACAACATAAAAGATATCAGTCTCTTAATTTCATATAATGGTTTGCAAAGTGATTCAACTTTAGTTTCAGGAAATAAAAAAATAGTTCATTACTTCAGTTACTTATTAGGGATTAAGCTACAAAATTAGTGATAACAAAGATACCTGAAAGCAAAGAAAGCCTTAAATCAAGCAAGAAGTCAGTCTCATTAATTTATATATCTGCCATGGTGTCTGCCATATTTAGCATGGGTGAAGAAAATATAAACCTAAGTAGTGATTGTGACAAACTTCATTTTGATCTTGGACTGTGCAGTATTTTGAAATGAAGTATTAAATTTTGTGGATCAAGAGTTAATTTCTAATATATATCAACCCTTGAAGCTGACTAGTCACACCATGAGTTTATACAGGCTATATCTGTTTACTGAAATATGTCTACAGTATCTAAATCTCATCATAGCTTTACCCTCAGACTTCTCTTGAGTTTCAATATTCTTTATCATAAACATCACAAGAAAGTAAGGCAAATGAATGGGGGGAAGATGGGAGAATATGCTGTTATCCAAGTAGATAAAAAGAAAGGGAAAAAAATCAATAGAAATACATGGTGTGTTACTCATGATGAACACTTAAATTTTCCTAAAAGAAGGCAAAGGTTAAACATCTACAATTTGACACTTCAGAATGATCTTTGGTTATATAAAGACATTTAAAACATTAAAAAAATTGTACTTCTACTTGATAGTGACTTAAATTTATTTAGATATCAAAAGGATATGGACATCTTTGTCACAAACTTGTCATGCATGTCCTCAGGAGGGGGAAAGGTTTCCAAATCTTTCTCAAGCTGTTGAAGCTGCCTTCCCATCTGCTTCAAATTCTTTTCCAGCATTTCTACAGAGACTAAAAGAGAGTATATTAAATGCCTCCAAAGGACAAAATTATAATATATAAAAGGTACAATCTAGAAACATAACATTTTTTTAAAACCTCATAAGAAAATTTATTATTAAAAAATTGAGTGTCACAGTTTTTAACCTTTTAATTTGTTAAAAAACGTTATAAAGTCAATAATAGATTACTTAAAATATAAGACAAAAGAAGTGTAGGAAATGTCCACATGAATAAATAACATTTAAGAAATTAGTTTTATTTAAAATTAGAGCTCTTGACCACTACAAATATTATAAAATAATCATACTATTCAGATAGACAAAGAAAACCAATGTTTTAAAAGTAAGCTTATATAATTCTGAGGTTTCAAAAGAATCTCTTGAGGAAACAGTGAAAAGATGATAAAGATGAAGAAAAGTGGCTTCTATAGTATGAGCTAATCCATAATAGTAAACAAAAGGTCTCAGAGGCTATTTACAATAACAGATGTCAAGCTTTCTTTACTGAAGCTATGAGCACAATTTGCATTTAATATTACCAGTTAATATTTTCCTTTTTGGAATTAAGTTTGCTCTCACAGCACACACAACTAACCAATAGTACACCAAGACACAGAGGCAGCATCAGAACATACTGGGGCAGCACAGCAAAACAGACAGAGATCATTAAGAACAATTTCCCAAATCTTTGCCTTTTCTATCTTACATGACATTAGAATCAAAAGTTACCAACAATGAAAATAAAATGGCCCAAACCAACTTTTTGTATATTTGCTTTAGATTTAAGATTAATTTAATTTAAAAAAGAAAAACAAAAGATTTCTGGTTCCTTTCAATGAAAACTATATAAAACAATGTTTCACAAAATTAATCCAATATAGTTTGTCATTTTCAGACCTGGAATTAATCCTGAGGAACGGGACAAATCAAATATTACCTATTAAAAAAAGGAATATCCTTGAAAGGGATCTAAATGTTTAAGAAAATGGGTCTGAGTTTTTAGAACATATAATTTAAAATTGTCATAAATAGCTTTAAAAAACACTGCAACATAGTCTGTTATTAAAAAATTAGCAATCTAATTCTCAGATTCAATGTTTATTAAGTCCAATGACTGAATTCTTCATAGAAATATATATAACATTTGTTTGTCTCTGAAAAATGAGGGTACTTTAACCTTGGTTCCCACTGTGATGAAGCCATTCTGAAATTATACTCATGCATATTTTCTTACTAGTTTATTTTCCATGCATCCTCTTTTTGTGGTTTTCACAGTTGAAATTGGGGCTGGGAGTGTACCTCCAAGGCAGAATGCATGCATCTCATGCAGGCAGCCAGGGGTTCAATCAAAAGCACCGGTAGAAGAAAAAAAGTGCAATAATTGAGATGATGGATTGTATGAAATGTTTCCATTAATGGTCGTATTTGGTATAGGAATTCAATCTATTTAACTCATGTTCCCCATGTCTTGCTGTACACTGCTCATGGTAGTAACATACATTTCCTATGTTATGCTCTTTCATTTTTGTGTCTGCTGGTCAATCTTCCACAAGCAGAACACTTATTTGATCAGGTCCATGGTGTTTCACTTACTTTTCTCATTTCCAAATGGTTATTTTGCTTCATTCAAAGTTCACTTTCTGCATTACAGAAGAGATTCCTTTTGCTCTCCTAGTCTATTTGATCTCTCCTCTAATGTCTCATTAACATTTCCTTTATCATTTCTCAGGAAATCTTACAAGTGGTTCAGTCACTTTTAAACTTCTTAAAACTTTGAAACTTCTGATTAACTAAATGTTCTAGAACATGCAAGATTTTATATTAAGTAAATATGTACTCAAAAAAGTGTATAAGTCATACTTTGTGCTATTAATTAGGTTAAAAAATGTTAATGTCTATAGTATAATCTTATTAGTAATCAATATAACAGTACTGATAATGAAAATAATAATAACAGCAGGTAACTCTAGTGAGTGTTTACAAATATTGGGTAATGTCTTTAATGTTTTCCAATAATCAGTTCATTTAAAGACAACATCATGAAGTAGATGTTGTTATTATCTCCAGTTTACACATGAGCAAACTAAAGCTGAGAGGGTGGGTAAAAAGATCAGATAACTAAAAAGTGGAAAATTCTGAATTTAAATTCAGGCATTTTGATGTACAGAAATTATTAAGAGAAATTACTTCTTTGTTTTTCATAATCTCTACTCTCCCTATCAATAACATTTAAATAAACAAACTTGTTTTCGTATAATTGGTTCCTTGTACATTCATGTTTAGATTAATTACAAGGAATCCAAAGATGACATAGCCAATGGAAAAAAAACTAAGCAACTCTGGAAGGATGAATGAACAGTTCTCCACTGACAAAAAGCACAGGGTAAGTCTTTGGAGGGAACATAGTCAGATTTTTTTTTTCCCCCTGACATCAAATGTACTGTTCCAATACCAATCAATTCTTTAACTCTCTAACACTAATTGGATTTCCTACAATTCAACTGAACTCTGACACTCCTTACTAAGAGTTAGTGTCATTGTCTTAAAGGCTCAGTCTCACCATACTGCCCTCATATCAGATGCTTGCTGCAAGTCCAAGAGGCCATCCATACTTCTGAAGGACTGGGTATAAATTGAAGGATTCTACAAGTTCCCTCCCTTAAGGCTCATAATTCATAGAACTTAGGAAACTGCTATATGTACAGTTAAAGTTTTATAAAGGACACATCTCAGGAACAGTCAAATGGAAGAGATTTACAGTATAAAGAATAAGAAGGAGAGGGTAGAACAGATTCTTCACCTACTCTAGGCACATGCCCTCCCAGCATATCCATGTTCTCAACAACCCAGAAGCTCCCTTAGCCTCTGTTTCATAGTCTTTGTTGAAACTTTATTATAAGTTATTAGAGATTAAATCATTGCCCATTCACGATTTAATTCAATCTGCAGTCCCCCTCTTTCCCTGGATATCAGGGGTTGGGCTAATATTTCTAACTCTGGAATCAATATTAGTACCTCTGGAAACCATTCCCCATGAAAGGAAAGGCTTGAGACTTATCTAACTCATTGCTAACCAGTGGGTCAAACTGCTTTCTTCATGATCTGAAGCAACTTCTCCTGGGACCAATTTCCACATCAGTGGAATGGGAAGCATCTCACCATATATTTTTACTTCAGAGATACTTCATAATAGATCAAACCAAATAGTGCAATATGAAGAAGTTTTTTGAAAAAGAATACACCACGGCTTTCTTATTCCTAAATAAATAAGAAATGATAAAGCTTAAAGGTTTTTTTTGTTTTTTAAAAAAAGTAATACTAGAATGAAAGGAAAAGTAAAGTCATCACTACAAGCACCAGGCCAGGAACAGGCTAGTGTGGAAGTCAGCTCAAGAAGAGTTGATATTTTCAACTCTTATGAATACTGGGGGCATATCCAAACATTTAAGGTCAGTACCATCACTAGTAAGCTACCTTTAAAAATGGTTCTTGCAGCTACTCTATGATGGAAATCCTACTAAGCCATCTCTTATGCTTCATCAGCAGTCTCTGATTAGATTACTTGTGCATTATTCTTAAATGGATTTAAATATAATCGACCAACCTCTTACTGTTGGTTTTTAAATAAGGACCAAAGCACACTTGGAAGAGAGAGAGGAGTGTGTGAATTCTAGGCTAATAAACTACAATCTAATGTTTAGAGTGATCTGATGGATAAAACTAAAGAGCATTTTAAGAATTCCCTTGGTGTTTTCCTTTTCAGCAATTTTTATATTTCCAAGGACAGCTCCTTAATGTATCATCAAACATAATTTACCACACTTTACACAAGTCAAATTCTTTAAGGTCACTAATTTTTTTTTTAAACTAGAAATCCAAACTAGAGAGCTTTAAATTGGAAATTCTCAAAGAAGTGTTATTTTACTTGTGTATCTATATGAGACGTGTGTTTGAATTTATTTTTTAAATTAAGTCATTTCTTAAATCAAGAAATATTCTGTTTCATTATTTAGAAGAAAAATAATAAAACAGAACTGTCATCAGAGTTGATTAAACTATTTTAAGGCAATTCTTACTTTTCCATTTTAATCAGTTAATAATTCATCAGGTGGGTTCTTAGTCAACTTGGACATGTATGTGTCTTGCCCTCAACCAGCTCATTCATAATCTCACAGCTTAGTGGGCGGAAGGATCACAAACTATTTCCTGTACTAGTAATCTGCTCATTTCCACCCCCTCCCCGTTGTAATCCTCAGATCCAAATAATTGTGACACCCCAGGCCTTTGACTTCACAAACAGTACTTATATTTGGGGACTCTTATTTCTTCTATGATCTCCTACTGTTTTTCTCCAGTGTTTTTTTATCAGAATGTACATGAGGGTTTCCAAGCACCTAGTGACTTACAGATGTCTCTTCCTGGTTTACAGCATGCCAGTAGACTGGTTACATAACATCTGAGCTCCTAAACAAAGGCCCCACACAAAAACCAAGCTGGCTGCATTCCATGTTCCATCAAGTTACTCTCAAAACAATATACAGCATATGTAGTTTCTCCTGCCCATCATCCTAACCCTGATTCTGGAAATAATGTGTCTATCTTCTCTGTTCTCTACCCCTGGATTACTCCTATTTGTACTTTATAACAAGTATTGAAACACCTAGCAAGATCCCTGGTGAGGTGCCCTTACCACCCACCCTAACTGGTAATTGAATCTAACTTTACAACTACCATACACTATTGACATTGATCTTCTGCTCCCAACTAGCTGAGAATTCCTTAAGGGAAGATACCATATCTTATTTAACCTTTGTACCTTCAGTTATATAACATACTATAAATGTTTGCTGGAGGAGTGGATTCTGGATTTAACTTTAACCTCTCATGATAAAAGCATTGAAACTAAAATGGGAAAATATAACAAATTAAATATCTTGGACATTAAAATCTAAGAAACAAGATTCTTTTCAAGTGTGTTGTCCTCATGATAATTATACACCATAGGTGCTA